CAGTGGTGGACCACCCAGTAAGGATGAAATTCACTTCTGTCTATATTTCTGAGATGACATATTGTAACTATCTGCACTATTTATATTGTTTGGACACATGGCCCATTAGGAAAAAAAGCATTGGTGACTGATCCAAAAAGTAACTTGACCCAATGTGTTGTGAGTGCAATCCTTGACCTCAGTGAAGTGAACAAAAATTTGGAGAGTTATCAAAGTAAATTAACTGAGATATCCAAAGGCATGGTTTGTAGAATTTACAGTCGCTCTCCCACAGACGTGCCACCACCTCCTTCTGTCTTTTCTACAAATACTTTCACGGTAACTGCTCTGACAAGCTACTTTTGCTAGTTCCCAAACTACATGAATTTAAATGTGCTACTTGGTTGGCATCTCAGTCCCACCCTTTCATTGTCAAAATGGTTAAATGTAGCCATCTCTTCTATTACTCCAAAAGCTTCATGTCTTGCACTTCCTGTCTGTGGAACACCCTTCCTCTTATTTGCTTCCCTGTTAGCTATAATCTCCAACTATTCAAATGCAATGTCAATTGACATCTCCAGATGCCTTGATCTTTTCCCCATCCTTCTCTTCATTCTTTCCTCTATCAAGCCTCTTTACTCTTGCTCCCACTGTCTGTAACCCCTTGTGTGCTAGTAACACTCCCACCTTACTTGGAGTGAAAAGCTTAAAAAAAAAAAAATTAGAACAATCTATCTTGGTGAACTAAATAAAGGGTTCAGTTTGAAATTCCAACAGATATCACCTGAAGAAGTCTAGAGCATGCAATATTTGAAACATTGTAAATGTGACAGTAAGGATGAGTACAACAGTCCGAACAATGTTAATCGTGTAAATGAAGTCCATGTATGAGAGAATTCCATAAATCTTTAACGCCTGTGGCTCTTTTCTTACTTTGCTAAGGCCCCCATCCCAAGTTCCATCATCTATTTACACAAACTTGTCAAGCAAATAAGTCCTCTATCTCTCTTTTCCTTAATATGCCCTCTGAGAGTTACATTTTCCAAGTTCTGCTTTTTCATGCTATCTTCAAAGCATTTCAGCTACCTCTTCCTGATTCTGAGTATAAGTGTTCTTTCTGTTACCATTTCCTTAAGGCTGTCTTGTTTTTTACTTGCTCCATCCATGGAATTTTTAGTATCCTTCTGGAGAACAGTGGATAAAGGTGTTGGTTAGATCCAGTGACAGGACCCAAAGAGTGTGAGTTCAATACCCGGTTAAGGCAGTGGAGAACTTTCAGAGGGAAATTAGCAGGAGATAACTGATAACTGACATCCATCAAACATGGCATGTGGAACTAGAACAGTCTACCCCAGTGAGCGAAATAAAGGGTTCAGTTTGAAATTCCAACCACCTGAAGAAGGCCGGAGCGTTGTGATAAATATGGCGACAAAGATGAGGACAATAGTCCGAATAATGTAAATAATGTACATAATACCTCATCTCAGAAATATAGACAGATCTATGCCAATGCCGATGACATGATGATATACAGGTACCCCTCTAAAACTCTTGATGATCAGCTCCCTGTACCACTCCAGTAAGTACCTGATGCCTCATGCTATCATCTCTTTCAATCTAGCAATAACTTCTAAGCGGGGGGAAAAATATGGCTAGTTACATTCAATGCTTCGAAAACCAAATAAGTTACATTCCATCACTGCCAATTAGACACCGAACTACCACCAATGACGATGTACAGATGTCCCCCTCAAGGAGGCATCATGCCTTGAGAGAATATTGGGCCTCAAACATACCCAACCTCAAGTGGTACTCTCATATACTAACCAATCTTTCATGGTTGAAATTGCCAAAGACTTAAGTTGTTAAATATGAAAAAAAAAAATCATTAGATGCTTAAACTTAATTCACATTTAAAAGTTATTGAACACTCTTTATTTCTTGACACTTTACTTAGCTTTTGGAATGCTTCTTTCACTCATCTAGTGCATGTACGGATCTCAGTGTCATATTTTCTATCCTCTGTTTTAAAGAATATAATATGAATTCAATGAACAGATATACTGTATTTTTGGCTTTGAAGACACACCCTAATACTGGAAAGAAATTTCTAAGAAAAAAAAGTCATGCTCATACTGGCATCACATATTGTTTATATTAATCACTCATTCGATTTTGTTTGTATGGCAATGACATACTAGTCAAGAGCAGAAAGGCTCCCACCACTGCTAGTAATCTTTAATCTTGTGGCTTGGCTCCAGGAAGGTTTAGTCTTGGAAATACTTGAAACAGCTAAGTACTGAGGTTGCATCATATAAAAGGGTGAATTAGATAGATAGCTAATATTATAGTGTAATGACTCAACATACAAATCCATGTCCCTATCAGTCAAGTCAATTAGGTGACCATCCAAGTTTACTTGAGCCTGGGTGTTGCCTTATATTCATCTTTGAAGATGCACAAGTATTTTTCAGGGTATTTCTTAGGAAAAAACTGCGTCATGTAAGCCGAAAAATATGTCAATTTAATAAAGCGCTGAATAACAAATTTGTATATAACTTTCAGAACATGTTGCAAATATTTGATAACCTTAGCTGTATTTGCTATAAGGCTAAATATAGATGTTGGATCAAAAAATATGTGTTGTTGCATTGTTCTAAGTTGGGGAGAGCCTGCTTTGAAAAATTGGCATTGGAAATCCTTTTCTTTTTTTTTTATGGGTTCAGACATTGATCACTGATACCAATGAAAAATATACAACTATTTCATCCATGATGCAGTTCACATAAGATATTTATTAAATTAAGCTTAGTTTAAGATAAATGTATGTTTATAGGAGGATCCAAATGAAGATTCAACTCAACATACAAATAAAAAATCATCATGATTATTGCAGGTATCATCTTGCTAATCATCTCTGAATATGAAATGTCAGAAATCATTAGAAGAAGGTATGCGTTCAGACATTGATCAATGATATCAATGAAAAATATACAACTTTCCAGATGAACTACACTCCTTCGTCTCACCAGTCCTAACCTTCATGGCTAAGATTGCCATGCCATATACATTGTAGTAAACTACCCTAATTCCCTTTGGCTAGATGTAACTTCCACCCAAGCAGTTTTTTCACCATGAACCCTGATCACTAAAATCCTAAACTATGCAAGTCTAAACATTTCCACATAAGCTGTGCCTCTTATTCTATAACTGTTTACCTCAAGTGGCCCACGGGCTTTGTACAGGGTGACCCCCAAAAAATGGGAACTTTTTAACAATCCAATAAAACCATGAGTGATAGAAGAAAAATATTTTATTCATAGTAATTGAAACCTTAAAACATGCGATTTAAGAAACAATGATGGAATTTTCATTTTTTTAAAATTACGTCCTGTAGATGGCGTCCTCCTGTACAAATGCATTCTTGAAATCTGCTGTTGAGATTCCTCATTGATTGCTGCAACATCTCAGCTGGGATACTGTGAATTTCATCTTGAATTCTAAATGGCGAAATGTTTACTTGCTCAAGGTCACTGTCTCGCAGTGTTGCCACTTGCTCATGTCTGGCAATATGCACTTCAAAAATTCCCATTTTTTTGGGTCACTCTGTACAAGGTGAACATCATTGTAAAAAAAAAAAAAAATCTAGGTACTATAGATGAAAATTATCTGAAACATATTTTTTCAATCTCTGTCCCAAGGTATCCAGCTAATCAAGAAGTACTGTAATAATATTGGTAATAACAATAATTTTCATCCTGAGATATAATGTAATTAAGCCAACTCTGATTTTCATATTTCAAATTTTTTTAAAAAATAACTTTTGTACAGTTTATCTTCCATGGAAAACATATCTGGTAGGCAAATATAAACTTCTTTTTTTAAATATTTTTCTTATTTTTTTATCAGTGAGAAGGTTGAATATCCAAAAATTAGCACATTAAAAAAAAAAAAAAGAAAACTGATATACCCAGGTGAAAAGCATTTTTACAGTGTGTGTTAATCCTTGTTGAGGAAAGAAATCTTTATCTTACCCAGGATCAGGTGTAAACATTTTAGAAAAAAATATGTAGACATTAGATATTTGTGTGCAAAAAAAAAAAAAAACTGAATTTTAAATTACAAGATTACATGGTAATATGATCGTGATTATATTATTTGCTTATTTCAGGTAGATAGCTAAAGACTATAACTCCACTATATTATTAATATTATATGTGTATATATATATATATATATATATATATATATATATATATATCACATCATTTTCAATACTATCCACAAAATATATTTGCTCACTGAACACTGTAGCAATGAATATAAACTATATACTAGGAGGTGCTTAATAAAAGTGTGGGATTGAATAATTGGCAGGGAGAGTCAGAATTTTTCTTGATATACAATAAATTGGAGAGAAAAAATAAACTCAACCACTCATTCAACTTCTGTAGATTCCCATTTGGAATATGGGACCACAGCTTGAACATGCCAAACACTGCTGCTTTATTCTCTGTAGCAAGCAGGTTTTATGGGATGGAGTTGCTAGCACCATACCCAACTGGTTTTGTATTCAGTGTTGACCTTTTTTCTAATAAAAGTGGTGGGGTCAAAAAATGTGAAATTAATTAATAGGGTGTTCTTAATATACATCCCCTATTTTCTACTAGGCTTACAGTCAAAACACTGGTTCTAGTTTAATAACCAAAGTTAAGCAGTCTCAAACAGAGTCAGTACATAGATGGGGGACCAATGGGAACACCAGCGAAAACTGGATACAAAACCAGTTGGGTATGAAGCTAGTAAATTCATCCTATAAAACATTTGCTATAGAAACCATAGCAGCAACACCTAGTGTTGTTGAGAACTGTGACCTAATACTCCTCAGGGAGTTTAAGGGTCTGGTAGGCTGTGGCTTCATACTTCTCTGGAATTTTATAGAACTTGAGAGCTGTGATCCCATACACCTCAGGGTGTCTAAGGGACTTGAGAACTGTGACCCCATACTTCTCAGGGAGTCTATGGGACTTGAGGGCTGTGGTTACATACTCCTCAGGGAGTCTACAGGACTTGAGGGCTGTGGTTACATACTCCTCGGAGAGTCTAAGGGACTTGAGAGCTGTAACCCCATACTCCTCAGGGAGTATGGGACTTGAGAGCTGTGGCCCCATACTCCTCAAGGAGTCTATGGAACAAGAGCTGAGGCCCCATACTCCTTGGGGAATCTATGGGACTTGAGAGCAGTGATCTCATATTCCTCGGGGAGTCTAAGGGACTTGAGAGCTGTGCCCTCATTGGGAGTCTACGGGACTTGAGAACCATGACCCTATACTCCTCAGGGGAGTCTATGGGACTTGAGGGTTGTGGCTACATACTCCTCATGGAGTCTAAGGGACGTGAAAGGTGACCACATACTTCTAAGTGTACATGGCCAAATAGTAAGAATACAAGCATTCTAACTGTTAAAATTTGGGTTTGAAGTTCATCATTATCAGTTTAGTAAATGAGATTTTTAGATCTTATTATCCTGGTGAAATGATCCCAGTTTGCAGGATTACTGGAAAATTCTTGAAAACAATACCATGGATTGAACAAGCCTTGTGAATGAAATTAAATAGATGAAACTTTTCAGAAGCCTTTGCTCATACACAGTGACAAATTCTTAATTAATGGGCTCTTGAGCTGTGGTTGATAATCTATCTAGAGATGGTTTCTTCCAAAAAAAAAACATCCATCCATAAGCAACCTGGCCACTTGTGGGGATGTGTTCGCCTGAAAAATGCACAATGACTGAAATTCTTAAAACTAGAATGTTATGTGAAAGAGATAGTGTCTTGATAAAAACACCCACCTCCTGCAGCCTGATCACTTGTGGGGATATCTAAGCTTGAAAAGGCACAAAGATTGAAATGCTTAAAGAGAACATTAAGTTACATGCGTTCTCAATCTACCACAGGTGAAAAAAGCACATCATCATACCTTTAAAACGTAACTGATTACAGAAGAACATAAAAGCATTGTGAACAGTAAACATGAAAGCAGAAATAATTATACATGTATCCTTACTTTTTAGCGTAAATCTGGACCACATGGTGATGGCATCAGAATATTTATAAAGACTTATGACAAGTATTATAATCAGCTGTTGAAGTAACAGTAAAGAGACTGATGTAACCCAATACATCTGACACAGCATGGAGGCCTCTTGGATTTGATGAATTGATAATTCCAAAGTGAAGCTTATCTGAACTTTCATATACTGACTCTAATGAAGAAACCAGTTCCAGGAAATTATTTGCAAAAATGTGACATTTTGTACTGTTAAAGTCTCTGAGAAGAGGTGAGTATATTAGGTAAAGTCTGTTAAAAGTATACAGTTTTGGAATTCTCCATGAAAAAAAAAAAAATGGAGTAAGAACAGTAAACAACAATGAATACCAGGATGTAGATAAAGGAATTCTGACTACAATACAGTTGTAATGAGACTTTGCTATGGCAGAAAGATTTATTCTCCCATTTATGTTTCTCCCATTATGGGCATTATTATATCCGTGATGCAATAACACCATCACAAATGAAACGAAATGGCTGAATGGAAAAGGAACGATAATATATTTTGTTCCCAGAGAGACTATTATACTGCTAAGACATACACAGAACTATATATACATATATACATGTGTCCCAGGCAGAAAACTATATCATATATATCTACACAGCAAAGCAGAGTGTAAAGAGACAAAAAGGAAGGTTCTAACATATAATAAAGAGATACTCCTATATCTGGAGAAGGCATGTTTAGGACTCCAGATTCAAACAGGTCAGATTCATCTACTATGTCCCAGGTGAGAACATATTCTATGAAGGGGAAACAGTGAGTCTTGGGTTTCCTCAAATTAAGCACTGTAAGCAGGTGTTTCTTTCTGTATTTGGGAAAGATATATTCCCAAAGTGTAATGGCATCATGTGCTTGTAAGCTGCTGGGGAAGCAGATTTAGCCATCAGCCACACCATTTGGCCCAGGCTAAAAAAGTAACTGCTTGGTTTGGCTGCTGTAAACAAAATAAATGACTGGCCACTCTTGTCACTGTATGAAGTGACATCATGAAGCAGCTGCCACATGACTTATGTAATTCATCGTTTGGATGAAAAGTTTGGACTGAATGTGATTTGTTTATAAAATATAATCATCTTAATATATTTTAGCTATGCATGTATTTTCTTTTTCATGTTTCCTTTTTCATTAGTTGTGCACAAAAATTTTTAATTTCCTCCATCGAGTTTTAATCAGTGAGAAGTGATAATCAGTTTGCTCATTCGGTTATCTTCTTTTATAATTATTTTTTTTTTTCTCTTTTTTGCATTAAACTGCTGTAGTTGTTTTTTCTTTTTGCCTACTTTTAATTATGTCCATTCTTTTTTTATAATTAAGACAATCCATCATCAGACCCTATAGACCCTATATTACACTATTGCAAATAAAGAGTTTTACCAAATAATGAAAACCACATCACTTGAACACTTAACAGCAGCAACAATAAAAATAGGTAGGACATATAACTGGAAGAGAAAATAGTGAAATAATCAAGCTGTTAAAAAAACAAAAAACTGTAAGCAAATATTAGAAAGAGCTATAATATTTAGTAGACATGAGAAGTCTAATTTCATGAAGAACTGTTTAAACACTAACTGTTCAGTCAGTAAATGTTGTATGTTTTCTGCATAGAAACAGCAAATTTTACCATTAAAATCTTTTTTTTTTTAAAGCAATTCACTCCAAGCAAGGTGGGAGTGCAACTAGCATGCAAGGGGTAACATAGAATTGAGAACAAGAATAAAGAGGCATGTTTGGGGAAAGGATACAGAGAAGGACAGGGAACAAGCTCAGTGTGTTAGATGTCGATTGACATTACACTTGAATATTTGAAGATTGGGGAAGTAAGTAAGGGGAAGGGAGTTTCATAGATGGGAAGTATGGGAGAAGAAGCTGTTTGAGTAGAAGAGACAGTTACATTTAACCGTTTTGACAGTGAAAAGATAGGAATGAGATGCCAGTTTGGTAGCTTAAATTCATGCAGTCTGAGAATCAGCGGAAGTAGCTCATCAGAACAGTTGACATGAAAATACTTGTCATAGCATCTACACAGTGCCCCCTTCTGGCCTTGTTGAAGTTCTTCTCATCAGAGAAGAACTAAAGCCTACCAATCTCTTTAAGATGTTTGTACTTGTTCAGCAATAACTTCAATTGGTTCATATGGTTCTCTTCTTGAACATGAATTGTCATCTCCAGATTATTCAGGATTTGTACAAGATGTGGAAAAACACTGTTGTCCTTACAATGTTTGGCCATTTAAAATGTTTCTTTCTCTTGGGCAGGGATGACACAATCCTACCAGAGGTCTCCAGCTAATTCCTGACCTTGAACATGAAGGATTTAACCACTTTCAAAAAATTGGCTATTTCTGTGTCCCTGAAGTTGGTGACCAGAGTAACCTCTTTCACTGTCCCCCACAGTATTTCTTTATGTCTTTCTTTTTTGATCTCATTGTTCTTCTCAATCTTTATCTTTTCCTTTTTTTTTCTATCTCTCTCACTCACTATCCCAGAGCCATGAACTCAGTCTACTTTCCATTTCCTGTGTCAGATTGGAAGCTGTTATGCTAATGCTCTTGGCATTCTCAAGCAGTTAGCATCTCTCTGTTCCTCTCAATCTTATTGTTACCCCTTTGTTTTCATTCTCTCTCTCTCTGCCTCCCTCAATGTTCCTTTCAGTCTTTCTTCATCTCTTCCTTTTCTTTCACTTCCTCTCTTTCCCTCTCAATCTTTCTTTATCACTTTCATTTCTTTCTTTATCTTTCTCACACATACTGTTCCTCCCAATCTTTCTTCACCTTTTTTGATTTCCTCTCTCTTTCACTGTCCCTCTCAGTCTCTCTTTAACACTTTTCTCTTTCCCTCTCATTGTTCTTCTCAATTTTTTTTAACCCTTCCTTTTCATCTCTCACTGTTCCTCTCAGTCTTTCTTTAGCTCATTCTTTTCTTTCTCTCTATTATTCTCAGTCTTTCTTTCTCTTTATTTTCCTCACCTCTCTTATTGTTGTTCTCACTTTATCTCTTTCTTTATTCCTCTCTCTCACTGATCATCTCATTTTTTCTTTGTCTCATTCACGCTGTTCCTCTCAATCTTTTTCATCTCTTTCTCTTTTTCTTTTATTTCTCTCAGTATTTCCTTATCTCTTTCTTTTCTTTCCCTCTCTCATTATCTTCCTTTACCTGTTTTCTTGTATTTCTTTCTATATTTCTTTTTAGTCTCTCTTTGTCTTTTCTCTGTTTCAGTCTTTCTATTTCTCTATTTCACTTTCACTTAATATTTTCAATTTTCACCATACCTTGTTCTTTTTCATAATATTGTCTTAGAAAAGTCTTTTCTTCTTTTCCTTTTTTCATTCTTAAAAATATCATTCTTTTATCTTGACCACAAATTTTTTTATTCTTTCTTTTTCTTGTTTCCTGTCTACATTTATTTTTTGTTACTTTTATTTCTTCATTCAATTTCTCTTCATTTCTTTCTTATTTTTTCAAACTAACAACAATTTTTATTTCAGCCATTTTTCTTTTATTTTTTCTTTCTCCTTCATTTTTGCTTTTTCTTTCCTCTTGCACATCTTTCTTTGTGATTTGTCTTTTTTTTTTATCGTTTTTCTCTCTTTGTACTTTTTCTTCCTTTATTTCTCTTGTACCAGTTCTTTTTGCGAGAATGTATATTCAACAATATATATTATATTACAAAGAGAGACTTAAGTCTAACTTATATCAGACTTAACAGCTCAAATTCTTACATTCCAAAGACAGAACAAAAACATGAAAACAAAAAGAATATTGTGTGAGGAAAAAGACAAAACCTTTTCTCTCAAATTCTTCATAAATTTTAGGCACAAATAACAACAAAAGAGGAAAAAATGCAATACAAAAAACCCAAAAAGTAACACTATAATTTTCACTGTTATAAATGATCCTTCTTATTCTATATGCCATATCTCTTTAGGGCATTGGTGATCATGGCTCTCTACAATTTCCTCCCCTTTGTCCTTTTAATAAATTTTGTCATGTTGTTATTTCTCCTAAATCTTGTTCCCCCATACATTTAATAAAGATTGAGAGAATTGAAATTTCTAGGGCACATAAAGATGAAAGAGGGCTTGGAAAATTAGATACACACAGGATAGATTGAAAGTAATAGGGACAAAGAAAAACAATGCATAACCTACTATATACATACATACATACATACATACATACATACATACACACATATATAAATGTGTGTGTGTGTGCATGTAAAAATTTCAGAATGTATCTGTGAAAGGACAATATAAAAAATTGATTTACCTTGATAAAGTTCCTCAGAGGACAAAACACATTGGTTAGGAAAAGTTTTCCTTTTGTCTTTTTTCCTATATATATATATATATATATATATATATATATATATATATATATATATATATGTATATATGTATTTAATAAATATATTTTTTTTCCTCACTGGTATCACAACTCTTGAGTTTCATGCAGGATCCAATCATCGGCACCAGTACTCAATGTACAATATTTTATTCATATATATACATATATGCACAGTTAATCTGTCCTAGATACAAATGCACATATAAATTATGTCATTTTTTATGGGTATTATGCTAATAATGAAAATTGTCTTTATTTTTTTCTGAGAATAGTGTGTTTAATTATGCGAACAGGTTTTGTTTGTTTTTGTTTTTAGCTGTGCAATTTGATAAGATTCAAAATATTACTCTCTGGGCAATTTCTAAAACTGTTTCCCACATTTAAAACAATTAAAATTCATAAATGCACATTTTTTTGGTTTACAACCTGAGAAAAATAATTGATGTTGCTAAAATGATTCATTTAAAAAGTGCATTTTATACAGCCAAGTAAAGAATAAAAATATGTAAGATGGGAAATTTATATCTCAAGAAATAAAATTTTATCTTTAAAATACATTTAGTATAAATGTTTTTAAAAAATGAACAATAAAAATGTTTCTCCTCTCCAAAATTGAATTGATTTTAAGTTCTTAAAAGCCTTGAAATTGTCCAATAGATTTTATGAATTGGAAATAGTTTTTTTATGATTTTTCTGAAAAACCACTTAAAGTATTATTTAATTATCATTTTTTTAAAATTCTTAAAGGAGTTCTTCACACAAATGAATTTGACAAGCCTATTGTGTTCTGTCAGGCAGAATTATTTCCACATATTTTGTACTAATTGTCATTTGTTCTTTGAATCAAATGGTTGACCTATAGAAGTTCATGTATATGTAATATTCTTTTGTTATATTTATCACTAAGATAATGGTAGTCAGCCTGTATTATAAGTGATATCTTTCTTCTTGACCTCATTCTGCTCACACTATTTCTGAGATATTTGTGTCAAGGAAAAAAATTGGCAGTAAGGTGTATCCAGGAATTTTAGCAGAATGGTTCCAAATGGAAAAAACACACTACAATTCAAAAGTTTGAAGCCGGCCCCAGAATTAGCATGGAATGAACTTGGCAGTAGAGTGAAAAGAATGAAAAAGCTCTTAGAGTCACTGAAAAAAGAATGGAATCAATTATCAATCTTATACTTTGAAAAATGTTTGCAATGAATGCCAAAAATTTGTGCTGCAGTAATGAAGGCTAAAGGAGGATATTTTGGTGAGAGCATTCTGATAAGCTTTTCTATTTGATACCTATTTTATAAGTATAAGTGAAGTACTAGATTGGCTGATAGGTTTCATCATTTCACTGTTTAAATTGGTAAATATAACCATAAATTCTATCCTAACAACTTCTTTCCTTGCTTGTAGCCTCTTCTGGATTCTTGCTTCTCAGTCAACTTTGATCTTCAAAAATTTAAATGCAATATCGTTATCTTCTGTCTTCTTAATTCCTGTTCTTTTATTGTTCTCTCTCCTTAATAATGTTTTTGTTTTTCTCATATTCTTTGATACTCAGTAACACCTTGCATCTTAGTGGCTTTATTGCCTTGCTTGGGGTGAAATGATTAAAATGTTGAAATCATGGCCAAGGAATTAATCAATGAAGGCTTTTAAATTGTAGCATCACATCTTTGAGAATTAAAATACATGTTTTGAGGTTTCATTTAGAGTACCAAGGAAATTATAAGTATTCTTTTCCTGTGCATTTACACATATATGCACAAAAAATGTGGTTGTATAGATGCATGTCAGTGACCAAAATTACAGATAAGAATGACCTTAGGCTCAATCTGGTAGTAAGACCCTATGCTGTGTGAAGTCAGGTGACAAGAGGTTAATTAGACACTTATATCTCACTATATTCTCTCTCTCTCTTTCTATCACACACGTACACTCACAATTATATCTGAGCAATATGCTGAATTGGAAGCTAGCCAAACTGCTTCTACAGATATGCCTCTAGGAAAGAAACAGATTTTATAAGACAAAATAAAAACAGCTGGTTCAGTTCAAAATGACACTAATTTCTCCTGAGTCAGCTCTGAGGCAAATCAAGCAACCTTCTGGAATCACATGGCCCACCCGTAGTTTCAGAAGAAACAAACAGGCTATATACAAAAATGGGATTTCTACAAGAATCTTTATAAATCCTCTTGCAGATCTAATTCAGAATACAAAAATCATTCTTGATAAATATTCGTTTCTTCAAATTTTTTTAAAACATATCTCAGAAAATCTTGTACTTTTGGAGATGTTTCATTGTGACTTCTTTGAAAATCTGATGATGTCTAGGTCAGAAGCCATTTCTTGTGGATTTAAATATCTTTTTTTTGCCTAAATTGGTCTTTTAGCTTCTTAAAATCCGCTTGGGGATCAAAGTTATGGGCCAGATAAATTTTCTTTTTCTATACATACATATATATCTATCTATTTTATATATGCATATGTGAATGTGCATGTGTAATATATATATATATATATATATATATATTTGTAAATGCTTAATTCAGCTTTGGACTTTAAAATTTTGTAAATTTATCTGTTTGTACTAAAACAAGTCTGTGAGGATCTACAAAGTAAGTTAAAACATTTGCTATTCCTATTTCATCTTGGGTTAAAAAGAGAGAGAGAAAGAATTTTGCTTTCTGGGAAGACTCCATTAAATATTCTTTTCTTAATAAAAATTAATAATACAAGTAATGATTATAAAAATATGACATAATCTGCTTACTAGCATTTTTAGTAGCCCCAAATATTAAAATGATATTTCAATTGATGTATAAAATATACTACAGTAAGTTGGTGTCTGATTTAAGCTATGAGTTACTGTTTCATCATAAGTATATTTTATTTTTAGTTTGGTTATTTTTCTACATAGAGAGATATTTATTATATATATATATATATTGGAGAAAAGTATATGACAATGTGGGAAAACTTTTCTTGTGACATGTGTCATCCTTTAGAACTTCATTGTACTAAATTTGTTATGTTGATGTGACTACACATATGCACAAATGAGGGATGTTGGGGATTTAAAGATTTTTATTTATTTATTTTTAAATATTTGAAAATATACGCCATATATATATATATACACATTCATACATTATATATATATATATATATATATATATATATATGCATACATTATACATATATATATGCATACATCATACATATATATATGCATACATCATATATATATATATGCATACATCAACATATATATATGCATACATCATACATATATATATGCATACATCATACATATATATATGCAATTGACATCATACATATATATATGCATCATCATACATACATATATGCATACATCATACATACATATATATATATATATATATATATATATATATATATATGCATACATTATACACATGTGTATATGCATACATTATACATATATGTGCATATATATATATGTATAATACATAAAAGGAAGCTGGTATTAAAAAGTGCTCAATACACGTATGAAAAAAATAAAATAAAAGTAAAACTAAAGATAACATGTAGAACTTTTAACAATTTCTAAAGTGTGTATATATATATATATATATAATTTAAATAAAAACAGACCACTTTAAGGTCCCATGTAATAAATTATTTCACCACAGCCCTTTTAAAAGGACTGCGGATCATCAGACTTTACTTCCAAACAAAAAATGAAAAGAAAATTTACACATTTTTGATGGGCCATATTAAACATATGTAAATAATAATAATTTATTACATGGAACCTTAAAGTGATCTGTTTTTATTTAAATTATTTGCTCTGTATTTACATTGAGCTCTCTGGATTTTATCCTCCTTAGGTTTACCCATATGGAATACCTAGTTTTTCATAAACTAACTATATATATATATATATATATATATCAAAGAGAATTAAGTACCAACACTAAATCTTGAGTAACACATCAGGCCATATGTTGGTCAACCCTTCAGCATCTCCCTTGTGTGGACTTATTTGCAAATCCCATATAGGATTGTTGTCTTATATGAAACATAAACATAAAAACTGAACTGAAAGACACTCATACATCAAAAAGGACAGGAGAGT